GTGACTGTATTAAATGTATTAATATAGAGTTAGATTTTAAAAACATTTAAAAAGGTGGAACATTATTATTTCATTTCATTATTTTCCCATCTAAATAGCGAAAGACCTGAATATGGCTTCTAGAACTCAAATACTACTACTGCTAGTGGCTGTAATGGTTGCAAGCTATGGCCTTACCAACGGCACAACAGCCAACGGCACAACCAGCGGCACAACAGCCAACGGCACAACCAGCGGCACAACCACCACAACCAGCGGCACAACCAGCGGCACAACCACCACAACCAGCGGCAAAATCAACGGCACCAATTCTACTGCAGCATCTCTTTCACCTGAGGGGATCGTGGGGCTGCCTGGACTTCTGATCTACACGGTCATCTCCACTGCAGCTCTCAAACTCCTCCACCTGATCTGAACATCAGCTCTCTCAGTTTGTCAACCAGCTAAACCTACAGGATGCACCTGACAGTGACTGTACAAGTTTCTAGCACTTTTATGTCAGCCTTTGTCAGATTACTGATCTTCATATACTTGCTGCTCTGAAAAATATCTGCGCGCTCAATAACAATATACCAAATATATATATATATATATATATGTAGACTTCATATAAGAATAATGAAGTATGAAGAATAAAGGCAAAAACACTTTTATTGACTTTGCTGACATTTTTAAACAACCTTCCACCTGCAGAACGGGTTAAAGGATTAGTTCACTTCCAGAATGAAAATTCTGTCATCATTTACTCACCCTGCACTTGTTTCAAACCTGTATGAGATTCTTTCTTCTGTTGAACACAGAAGAAATTTTTAAAAATGTTGGTAACCGAACTGTTGATGGGCACAATTGACTTCCATAGTAGGGGGGGAAAAAATACTATGGAGGTCATTGGTGCCCATCAACTGTTCGGATACCAACATTTTTCAAAATTTCTTCTTTTGTTTTTAACAGAAGAAAGAAACTCGTACAAGTTTGAAACAAGTGCAGGGTGAGTAAATGTTCAAATTTTCATTCTGGAAATGAACTCTTTTAAGGACGGGTGTTTATATATAATTATTAAAAAGGATATGCATGTTTATATAGCTGTGGGCATATGAGTAATTTTTTTTCTTGATAATGATATATATCACAATATGGAAATATGGTTGTTATTATACCAACATTTTAGATGCCATTGAATTTTCACAATTTTTGATACAAATTTTGATATCACAGAACTAAATACTATAGCCTAATATACCTAGGCCTAAGTAAAAACTTCCCAAAGCTTACTGAAGACAATTAAAGAATCAGTAATAAAATAAAAACAAAGAAGCTACAAACAATAGGACGAATAAATGCAACAGAACAAAGATACAAACCAGGTAGGTCTACCTAACAGAAGTAAGTAATACTACAGAAATTGAATAAACTAATCAAATGTCAAATAAAATAAAAAACTGCATAGTCTTCACTGTATAAATTAAACATATAGTGATTTTTATTAAAATTATAAAAGCTATTAAAAAGAGAACTCAATGGTGCTGTGTGGCAAAACCGTCTTTCCGACAGCATGCAAGTACCGAACTGAGTTCACTTTTGGGTCTTACTGTGTTTGAAGAGTTTAAAATCGGTTAAATGTTTCAACTGGCAAGACCTTAAAAATGCATGCAAAATGAGCTTTATGCAAAGCTTCTTAAAGACTGATTAATCTGTCAAATATGCAAATATGACTTGTGTCTTAGTGCCACCTTGAAACAGCTTAAAATCTGAAAACAACAAAATACAGAATACAAATATAATCGAATTATATCAATCAGGTTTACAATTTATTTTCGAAAGGATATTATGAAAAAAGAAAATATGTGAATGACAGAAGGGAAACAAAATAAGTGATAAATGTTTTGGTAAAGCAAGCGTTTGCTCTACAAGACAGCTTGGGTCATGAGACTTGAAACTAAACAAACTAATTATATAATGTCAGACTTGCATGACTGCATTTAATGCTAGCTGATTATCAACCAGTAGCCTAACTAATGCATCAAATGTACACACATAGAACAAAAAAACATTACCACATCCTCGCAGGCATAAAAACCGAGATACACTTTGGGCTTAAGCATTTAGATAACATACACTGGAAGAGAATGTGAGGATAAGCTGGAGACAGCAACAACAGACGCCTGCATTTTGTGGAGTTAAGAGATACTGTACCTGCAACTCTAGTTTAAACCAATACAAAGATGCTTTTACTGGTCATAATTTCTGGAGAGAAACAGGCACTAAGATGAAGCTTTCTAACTTTGCATCTAGACTGCATGTGTCAGTCACCAAATGGAGTATACTTTGAAAGGTGTGTTTGTGTCAAAAACTGAAGTATATTTTGGGCTTTGTATTAGCCTATTTTAACCTATTAGCTTTATTTCTATTCTGACCCAAGGAGAGCTTTAAGGCAGTAATGACCTTAAAGGGTTAGTTCACCCAAAAATGAAAATTGGCTGTTGTTTTACTCACCCTCGAAGCATCCTAGGTGTATAGGACTTTCTTCTTTCAGACGAATCCAGTCGGAGTTATATGGCTCTTCCAAGCTCTATCACTGCAGTCAGCGGGTGTTGCAGTTGAACAGTCCACAAGTCGTCAAATAAAGCGTCCTTAATGCATGGGTGTCAGAAGCAACAAAAATGTGGGTGGGTCCAACATAGTGTAAGTTTAACTATAATTCAATGCTGCAACAAAGACTATCTGATGCCTTTAAAAGCAACATGCGAACAAATGATGAACATTCACTTAAATAGCAGCTGGTTTAGTGACAGTATGTGAGCACACAGCCAGACCAGGGGCCTCATTTATAAAATGTTGCATATAAACCGTCCTATTGTTCTAAGATCATTTCTCAAAAGTGCGTAAGTGCGATTCAGAGAAAACGAACATGTGCACAAAAACACGTGCGTACGCCTGTCGGTACAATTTAAATTAATTAAGATTGTTTAAAAAGGGGTCATATGATGCTTTTTTAAAGATCATTATTTGGTGTATTTGGTGTAACAGAATATGTTGACATGC